TTATGAGTGGATGTGGCCGCTTCCACTGTAATCACAAGTACATATAGTACATGTCATGTACTGTACATGATTTACAGCACAGCACATGATTTGAGTGTTTTGAAACCTTAACGTCTGAGCTTCTTGATACCGGTACAGTACATGTTTTTACTTAGAGCGTGTGCGCTACAGTACACACGAGAACGAGTGAAAAGCAACCTAAAGTATGGTGACGGCACCGCAAACGTGGATAAACTCACAATAATGCGTCTTGGCACCATTATACCCTGACCAGTACAGTAGCATGGCGATTCCCACACAAAGATGGTGTTCGGCACACTATGACTTGGTACCGCCACACGATGCATGAAAAGCACCCATTTCGTGCATGAACGTGGCCCCCGCGCCCGTGGAAGGAGCTGAGTGCGCGCAGCAAAGGGCCTGGAGCGTGCGCTTCCACTTCGACTTGCGGCCAATCAGACCGAGCCCCCCCATTTCGTGAAGCACAGCAAGCGAGCGATGCCCCGGACGTTGCCGTGGAGAGAGGTGGGTACCGAGCTCAGTGCCGATGATGCGGAAGCCATGCTGAGCAGGATGAAGAGGCACAGCACGGGGAAGAGCAACGCAATGCCGTGTACGGCTTGTGGCGCCGGCTCGCACCACAGCATGCGGTACAAGTTGCTCATGTGCGAGTCGGCGACCTGTAGCGGCGTCACCTGCTCGTGGCGCGGCAAGGTCCGCGTTTGTTCCGACAGTGGTGAGTTCTATATCTACGAGCTAGGTGATCCCTTCACCGCCTCCTTCTCTCCCAAGCGTGCTAGGCTGTCTGGAAGGCAGATAGAGTTCTGCCGTGAGCTCGCCAATCAGCAGCTGCGACCGCTGCGCATCCAGCACGCGATGGCGTGGAAGTTCCAGCTTCCTGCGGACGACCTCCCTCCCTTGGACAAGGTGCAGAACTTGTGCAATCACTACTCGAAGACGGAGCTCGAGAACCACGACCGGCTGGAGGACCTCACCCAGTGGATCCACAGCCGAGCGTACACCGGGAGCAAGGGCGACCACGACACGTTCACCTTTGCGTGGGATCTCGATGAGAGCAGGAAGCCAATCATCGGCGACGGCTCAGATGAGGAGCCCTTCCTTGTGGGGCTGACAACGAAGGCGTTGGTGCGAAGGCTCAACTTGCCCTCCGAGTATTACGTACTGCACATGGACGCCACCTTCAAGATCAACACCGCGGAGTATCCGGTGATCGTCATCGGCATTTCCGATCGTGCGCGCAGCCTCCATCTCGTGGCGTTGTTGGTGGTGTCCCAGAGGCTGCAATTAATTTACGAAAGCTGTCTGGCAGCGCTCAGCCGGCTCTACACCTGGATCACGCAGCAGATACTGATGCCGCGATACGTCATGGGCGACGCTGAACAAGCCCAGCGCAATGCAGTTTTCACAGTGTTCCAGAGCAGCTCTGGCATGGAGTATCTGATCTGCTTCTTCCACGTCATGACCAACGTGGAGAAGCACATGAAGAAATTTCCCTCGCACGTGGCGGGTGCATTAGTGCGAGGGCTGTATAACGTGCATTTCGCCCGTGACCAGACCAGCTTTTCCTATTTGCGGGACCAGCTCTTGTGGGCCTGGAGGAACTACCCGGGGCTGGTGGACTTCTGCGACTACCTAAAGGCGCAGTGGCTGCGTAGACCGTTCTCACTGTGGCAATGCTACTCAACGCCGAGTGGCTTTGCCACAACGAACAATCCTGTTGAGCAGGTGTTGAAGCGGGATTATACGTTGCGGCGGCGCCTAAAGATGGGCATGCTGTTGAAGGAGCTGAGTGACTGCTGCATGCACGAATCGGCCAGGCAGCGACCATTCCGAACGGAGCCCGAAGCTGCACTCACGCTGACTCGACGCGTGGTGGAGCTCGTTCGGGAGAAGTTGCTCTTAAGGAACTGCGACGCGGACAGCGTCGTGGGGGACGCCGGAGTCGTTCACGTCCTCGAGTATCCCGCGAAGCGCATCGTCGTGGAGGGGGCCAAGCGAACCACGGAGGAGGCGATTGCCGTCTCAGCCCAAATGGGCGTCAATTACGCCAGGATGGAAGTGCAGAACGAGCCACCGTATGGGTGGCCCGTTCAGTTGCGGAGAAAGTGGTGTCCATGTAATTACTCCTTCAAGCTCGGCACCTGTGTGCACCTTATTTTCGGGCTCCGGGCTACGGATCGCCAGGTCGGCGCATACTCGTGAGCAGACGCATTGGGCAGAAGCGTGGATCAGCAGGCACCGACGCTGCCGGGGGTCGTCCGCGAGCAATCAGACCTGCACTATCTGCAGACTGACCCAGCACTCGCGGATGCGGACGTAGGAGAGGATCTATAGTGGCACGGAGTCTGACTAGGGCCAATGCATATTGAACAAGCGAGTATATCCACAACAGAGCTTACAGTTTTCCTGCACTTGAACTACGTTGATTTTGGCTCGGGTCCATCCAGCACTTGTTGCACGCGCACTTGAACCAGCGCTGGCTACCCTAATGGACAGTCACTTGGGCGCCTGCAGACACATTTTTGGGTTTCACTAGCACGCGGACTCTCGACCGCGTCTGTTGCTCGATAAAAGCTGCGTTGGGCTCGCAGGCGTGCGAGATGAACCTCGTGACGGAGCCGCAATTCAAGGCATCCACGTAGACGATGTTCCTGTTGACGGACTTCGCGTTGTACAGCAGCGTGTAGCCGCTGTTCTCCATGACGGCTGCCCGTGGTTGCCCTTCCACCACTGCGGGGAACTCCATCAGCTCCCCGCAGTACTCGCCCAGGACGTCGCCGACTTCGAGATCCGTGGAGGTGTACACCCCGAGGCCTACCCGACCGGTGTCGAAGAGCTTCAACGTGTCCAGCGTCCGCGGTGCGTTGCTGCACCTCGCCCCGAGCTTGCAGTACTTCGGGGTGCAGAACGACGCGGACGCCACGTTGGAGCACGTATCCCAAAAACAATCGCCGAAACACTTGCATGCGTCGACTGCCCCGATGTCCGGGAACTTGACGCCGTTGCGCTTGCAGATCGTAATGGGCTCGACGTCTGACGGCCATGGCACCGTCTTGAGCAGCGTGCGAGACTGCTTCGCTGCTGGATCCTGGAACACATCTCGTCTAGCGTGCAAAGTCTCCAGCTGCTCTCTCACCTCAGGGCTGTTCTTCAAGGCCTCGAGCTAGACGGCCTGAAACGGCTTCGCGTGGTAGATCTCCGAGCCGCTCTTGGTGATGGCGCACTTTGCCAGATAGCGGCGCTTTCTCGATCTCGGGACGTGCCATTGCGCAAAGAGGTTTCTTCGCCTGGTGGCGGATCTTGGCCCGGGGCGTGTGACGAGGTGTCAGGAATCGCCCGCATATACACAGCCGCCTCAACTTCGCTTGCTGGACTTGGCTCGGCAGACTTAGCACCGGAAAGCACTCCACTCTCATCACACGACGACACCAAGTCGATAATCTCCCTAATAGACGATCTTTCGTACGCTTGCTCGCTTCGTGCCTTCTTCTCCGACCGTGCTGGAGCCTTACCACCGCTCGCTGTCGCCGCCAACGGCCGGGTTGGAGTGCTGGGCAGCTCCACCTGGCTCAAACTCGGCGCTGGCTCGGGAGAGCTGCACGCGCTACTCTGGGGTGTCTCCGGAACGATCTCCTCGCTTTTATCACGTAGCGCCTCCCGAACGGACTCTACCGCAGCATTGATTGCCCCGGCAAGCGCTGAATTGAGTGCGCTGGCCCTCGATGGAGCTGCAAACGTCCCTGCGACGAGCTTGAACGTCCGTAGCTTCCTCCAGAGCGAGGCACTGGGATCTAGCTGCTTTCCAGACGCAGCAGTGACTCGCTTCATCATCATGTCGCCCGGGATTACGTCCCCGGTGTCCAAATCGACCTGGAAGTCTACGTCCGCGCCGTCGTCAATGCAAGTGACGACGGCGCGCCGAAAGCCCTTGGGGTCTAAACAGACGAAGGCACGGCAGTAGTACTCGATCGTGTCACCAGCACACAGAGTCTCTGGAGGCAGCTCAGAGGCGCTGAGGCCCGGCATGCTGCTCTGGTGTGGTCTGGGGCGCGTGCGGCTTTCCGGGTTGGCGGCGCTGCTGCTGCTCGTCGACAGCTTCCGCGAGATACTGACTGGAGTGTGCCACCTAAAAGTGGCCCAAATTTGGGTGTGGCCCACCCCGGTCAGTGGACCTTGCATGCTCATCCCTCGGCGGGAGCACATCGCGCCGGATGCGCCACCCGGCTGTGCGCGCTGCCGCAGCGGGGCGTCCGAGAATGGCCTCTCCATGCATAGTGTGCTGGGTTTTACGGTGATTTTCAGGCGGGTACAGGTGAACTTAACGTTTACTCAGTAAACACCTGCAGGAACCGTACCGGTACATGGACCTACCGGTATTGCGTAATGAGACTCATCCACTCTTTATGATTGGATGTGGATGTGAAAGGATAAGTACCGCCCCCACTGTAATCACAAGTACATGTACAGTACATGATTTGAGCGTTGTACATTGTTCGTACTGTATGATTTAAACAAACCAAGTTTGTGTTTAAGTCCTACATTCCTGGGACTCCCACCTAGCATTTTAGCTGACCTTAAAGTGGGAGATCAGCTAAAATGCTAGATGGACAGCCTTTCTGTTGGTCTCGTGGGTGACGAGTTTGGAGATTCCATTTGCCCACTCGCGCGAGAGCTCAATTTTCGCGCGTTGCTTCGATGACCTATCCTCTCTCCGAAGTGCATCCTGTCCGCGCTCACAAACATACATTTAATATTTACCAGAGCTCCAGATTCTTGAAGAGGAAAAACATAAAGGTGACTAACATAGCCTTGCCAGTGCCAGTGCTCCGAATCCACTTGTGCGTTCGAGAGACCAGATACCACATGTACGGTACATGATACGACTCTCGATACGCAGGCCTATTTATACAGCTGCCGCATTTCTCATTCCGCAATTTTCCTCGGTCCTCAAGACCCATCCAGCCATGCGTCTTTTTAACATGACCCTTGTGGTTCTTGCGACCGGCCTCCTTGCAAGTGGCACAGCAGTGTCAAATGCCGATCAGGCCAGTGAGTTGAACGTGGATGTTCACTCCTCAAATGTTCTCGCTACCGAGGACACGAGATTTCTTCGAAGTCACCAGATAACGGATGACAAGGTCGAAATTAACGAACACGGCGAGGAAGAGAGGATGTCTGGGTCTAATTTGTTCTCTGCACTGAAGCTGGAGAAAATGGGGCGGGATACATCTTACCGCGATAAGGAGTTCCAGCGTTGGAAAAACTATGGAAATTCAGTGGGAGATGTTACTCCCCATGTGCCAGTTTCTCTCAAAGAAGCGTACGCAACATACTTGCGAATCCGAGAAATGGTTTTGGTCAACGACTAGACTGTCCCCAACCACGTTAGCCAGGGCTCAATCGCCTCGCTGCTATCTACGTATCTGGGAAACTCGAACGTAGTGCGGAAGAAGAAAAATGTTAGTTGATAGCACAAAAGGATCAAACGACCACTGTTTAAACAAATCCTTTTAATCCGGGCAGAACTACTACCTCCTCTTGGACAAAAAATCACCTTACCTATACGATTACAGACTGCTTAAGCTCGGTACCCTTGTAAAAGCGTTTAATCTGTGTATCATTTAGCTAAACTGATTCGCGCCGCACTCTGTCTAAGGCGATGTATTCCCTGCAAATTTGTTAGATGTTTCAATCTCCCCCTCCATTTGCCATCGCTCACTTCGCAAGATTAGCAGGGACATAAGGGGTGACGGCGCTGGCGTTCGTGTGGTGGTGACCGGAGCTGAGGGTGGAATGTCTGAGGACAGGGTGAGTCAGCAAGGTCATTGCTTTCGCTACTCTAATCGTGTGTCCGTCGTGACAGACGTTGGTGTGGGAAAAACTATGGAGCGCGAGCTTAGGGAGCTCGAGGTACCAAAATTTAGAAAAAGGGCTATTTAATGTACCCAAGAAATTATCCAAAGGTTTCGCTGTACCACAGCCTGTAGACCCTCATCGAATTGCAATGTCGTGAGCTGGGCAAGATAATGCGGTATGCCTGGCTCAAAGAATCACAGCAGAGATGTATTGTTATATATCACGAAGCCATATTACGCCTCAGCTTTGCTAGTCGGTGGCTTAAACAAGAGTGATACATCGATCACCCTAAATGAGGCGACAATTGCCCATTCTAGAGCAAGTGTTGACGTTTTTAATGCGAACTAGACCAACAAATCGTACGCTGACACATGAAAACTTAATCGTGTACTTATAGTGTTGAGTTTCGCTGAATTACAAGTAGCCATGGACCTTTAATTGTGTGGTTCCTAGATTTGCAACAGGAAATAGGGAACAGTGTTGGCGCACGTACAGAAAACACTACATTTCAGCTCTTCGTTATTCGACGCTTCACCAGCGTGTGAAAACCTCCATCGAGCAGGTTGTCCATGTGGTCGGTACTGCTTTTGAAGCAGGTACTGCTTCCGATACAGTAGTGCTTCCGATGCCGATACTGTACTATTGGGTCAAATTGGTACTGTACTGCTTTTTGGAAATACCCCTCCGCAAACTTAATAATCATGAAAAAGAACGAGGCGAAACATTTGGGTTATTGTTGCAGGAACGTCACTCCTCTATTTTGTATGTGAGACTCCCTACAAAGTGCAAAAACGCGAGCGTTAGCAAATCCTTGCTATTTCGAAGAAACTTGTGTGAAAAATGCACAATCAAAAATATAAAATTGACTGAGTAATGGGCACTCGATAAAGACCTCTAAAACAAATCCGCACCGCTTCACGACGTCATAACGGTTCTAATGCGCAACATTATCCACATTATACAACGTTAAACTGGTTTCTGCTGGTATATCGGTTTATCAAATATCATATTAGCCTTAAATTCACATTAGAATTTCATGGACACCGGGACTATTCAAATCGGGCACTGATCCACTTTGAATTGACCCTGTGTTTTGCACACTGAAACAGAGCAAGAAGGGCGATGAAAGACTGCGGGGCTCCTATAACCAGCGCAAGCAGCAGTGGAAAGGCAGTGTTGCTACCAGCCAGCTTGCTGACTTACTTGTCCGCCCTCGCGTCCACGACCTATCATGCATCCGAGACAAACTTGCGGAGATGGCTTACTACACTAGCAAGTGTGGTGTAGCGGGATCAGCAAAATCTGCAAGATTGCATGGATTCAACTTACCAACTGCGCACAGACACCGACTAACGGAGGGTCCCCCGATGATCCGTGTTCTGCTGAACTTTCCTCACCTTGTGTACCCGTCGGTAGGGCGGGATCTTGCTCTCTCGGGAACTTCCAAAACGTTCAAGTGGTGAAGCTTGAGTGTCTTGGCGAGACGTGGGGATGAAGTGGAGCAGCAGTGGTAAAATCTTCACTCTGCGTCCGTGGTTGGTTCTGGATCCCAAGCGAATATTCGAGCTTGAGCGGATCCAGGGCCTAGATCGTGGATCTGGCCGTAGGGTTACCTTGCGGGTGGCTTGCCTTTGTTTTCCTTTTCGTCGTACTTGCCGCCTCCTATGACGGGATCTTGAGAGTTGAGAGACTCTAGGCTGTAGCCGGCAAAATAGTAAATCCGGTTTACCTTTCAGATCTGCACGTGTAAGGAAGAAAAAAAGACACTAGGTTGTAGGATCTGGCCAATGTATTATCCAATTATCACTACCAACACTAGATTTGCATTTCTTAACCTTCTCCGAGTCCGTACGGCCAATGTAGTTCCGATTCTTGAGGGCAGGAAAGCACTTGCGTGTTACTGTGCAAATTGACGTCTGTATTGATACTTAAGCCTATACCTGCCTGGATTTCTACCTTCAATGTCTTTTACTTGTTAAATCCCTTACCAGGATCGGCTGCGTGTCCTCTCTCTCTTTTACCCATCATTCCAGCTGTATTATCATCATATCCACCGGATCCATGGCGTAATCATTATGGTCGCCATATTATGGGTACACGCATCCGGATCCAGATCGCTTTGATCCACCTCACTGCAAGTGTACACTCGTCATGGATCTGAGTTCTCCAATCCTCCTACATCGTCTTGCGACCGTCTGTGATCCCCATTGTCCCACGAAAGTTCGAGATCCACTGCATCCACCGTCCCCATATCCCGGATCCAGGTCACTCCGTGTGGGATCCTCACCCCTTTGGATCCGGACTCGGGAGTATGGGATCTGGGACATATCGTGGTGGATCTTGACTTCTCGTTAGTCGCTGATACCAGATCCACCTTCAGATGACACCTACCATCATTTCTTCATAGGATCCACACTCGATCCACCCGTACATAGTATATCCCATATCCACCTAAGTGAACTCAGGTGAAGGTGGATCCGAGTCTTTCCTTGGTGGATCCTGCCTTCCCATACGTCACCCATACCAGATTCATCGTCGGCTTCTACGGGATGCCGCTCATCATGGCCAATCCACCTCGGGCAACGTGAGTCCCTGTCTTCCAATCCAAATCCTCTCTAATTACTTGAAACTGTCACTGACTTTGGATAGTTACCCCATGTTAGGTCCATTCTCTTATTTTTGAGAAAGCACTTCACCACACAAGTTGCGCTCAGTCACGACAGAATTGCAAGAGCTTCTGGGGCAAGAGCTCGACCTTGCATATCAGTTGGCGAGCAAAGCCACGAACACAGCTCCGACGGACCATAACTACGTACCAACACTTTCTGTGATGCTGGAAGAGTGCTGCAAGCAACTTCACAAGTAGTGGCGTTAGCCTAGATCTCGCTTGTGGTCGTTAGCTAACGTTGCTCAGTTCAAATTGCTAATATAACGTTGCTATTATACCGCTGCTTGTATTACTTAAGTGCTTGTCATTTGAAAACAAATTTAATAACGTTGCTATAAATTTGTAACATTGCTTGGGGTATACTAGCGTTGCACACCGCCAGATAACGTTGTTCTAATCGACAATAAGCACCTATCCAAGCTGTGGTTTTCGCTATTCACAATGTCCATGACCCACCGAAACGAAAGACAATATTCTGAAATGCCTCGACGCATTAGCGTGTGAGATCGACGTCGACCCTGCCGTAAGCGCCCCCACTGCCCACGTTCATCCGCGACGGCAGAGCAATCTGGTCAGCCACAAGTGCCACACGACTCAGAACGCCGTACTGCTCCTGTTGAAGTCATTGATTTAACTGCGGATAATGTCATCGACTTGACAGCAGAGGAACTGATGTAGCAATCGTCAATTTAACTGAGGTTGACGTTATCAAGTTGACAGCAGTGCAACTACTTCGACAAGAACTTGTCCCGCATTCAAGTTGAAGTTGTTTTTAATTTAGCTATCTTAGCTCCGTACTTTCTTTCTACCCTGCACAAATGCTCGCGATAGCTGTTTTCCTATATCCGGTATGTATTCCTGTTCATCTGCATCTATAGACTTGGTCATAGATTTGCACATAATAATCCAGGGCGCGTTTAGTCGCATAACATTAACGACATCCGTGGTTCCAAAGTCCGCACTAAACCCCCGTCCTCCGTGAATAAACGAGTAGGCCATAACGGCTACTATTATTCCACAACTGCTTCCATCTGGCTGCGTAGGCGACCTCTCCCAATTTAGCTCATTTTTTTTTCGGCTCCGCCCCCCCCCCCCTAGGTATGGCAACAGTTTCGCTGCCCATAGGTCGTCCGCGTTATCTTTGTAGTGATCGTTCCAAATAGAGTCGGTCGTAGAAGTGCGGGCTCAGCACACCATGTCTCTCCACGACAGCAATCATATGCGCCCAATGCGCATTGGAGTTGCTAATTGGCAGTACTATAAATTTTATTGAGAAAAGGTCCCGACGTGGAGGGGTCGGGAAGCTCTCGCTCTGAATAATGAACGACGACAATACGTGCACATCGTCTCGGTCCGGTGCATAGGTTAGCACGGAATCGTTTAACCACGCCCCATCCGCCAAATATCTCTCGACTTCATCAAAGCAAATTTCCTTGCTTACGTCACCTCTGCCGATCATCGTTTCTAAGCTGAGCGATAAGTATATTGGCGCCACTTTCTCGGTCAGCTAGACAAGTTTTTGCTTGGCTGCTGGTTCCGTTTTGCCGTTGGATCCAGTCTCAGTTGCGAAAAATTCGACAGGTCGCCCCGATACCTTCGACCAATCTTGAACAAGCCAGTTCAGATCTTTTTCCGACCGCTCACAAGTTTGTCTTGTTGTATAGAATTCCATCATAGCGCTAGCACACTCACTAAAGAAAAAAAGCTTCCAGTTATTGTTGCTTGTGCAACATTAGCAATAAAGCAACAATAAATCTGCAACGTTACCAGTACCTCGAGAATGGATCGAGTTCTATTGTGACCCAAACAGCCGGTGTCACGTCGTCGGCAGACCTCGGAGTACAG